TATTCCACCATGTTTCTGTTATCCCTATAATATCTGGTTTCACTTCCTGCACCAGTAGCTCTAGTTCCTCCATTTTGTTACCTAGGCTCCTCGCATTAGTGTACAAACATCTTAATTTTTGCTGTTTGGCCTCACTCACATTCTTTACCCTATTAGGCACGGTCATTTTACTACCAGTATAACCTATTAGACTTGTATCTACACTGCCCTTCCTCCTACCCACGGCTGTATCCACTCTTACTTCATTTTCTTTCCTCTCAATGCTAAATTCTGGCGTTGAGATTACCTGGACATCTCCCAACCATCTCCCCCTAATTCCTAGTTTAAAGCTCTCTTAATCAGTTGTGCCAGCCTCCATCCTAGAAGTCTATTTCCTTCCCTACGCAGATGAAGTCCATCCCGAGAGAACTTTCCTCTATCCATGAATGCCTCCCAGTGGCCATACATCCCAAAGCCCTCCTTATAGCACCACTGCCTAAGCCATCTGTTGATAGTCATAATCTTGTCACACTTTTGTTGCCCTTCTCTAGGAACAGGCAGAATCCCACTAAAGATCACCTGAGCCTCAATTTCCTTAAGCATCTTCCCCAGCCTAGCATAGTGTCCCTTAATACTTTCCAGCGAGAATCTAGCCGTATCATTTGGTCCCACATGAAGGATAATTAGGGGATTCTTTCCTGCTCCCTTTAGAATCCTTTTCAACCTCAGGTCTACATCCCGTATCTTAGCACCTGGAAGACAGCACACCCTCCTATTCTCTGGATCAGCTCTGGTTACAGGCCTATCTATTCTTCTCAGTAAAGAGTCCCCAATTACATAGACCTGTCTTTTCCTAGTGACGGTGCTATTCTCCAGTCTGTTCCCTCTGGCTGCAAGTTCTTTCCATTCCTATTCTCCCTTGTAATCCTCTTTAACCCATCCTATATCCTCCTGGGGCTCATATTTGGTGTAATCTCCATTAACTCTTCCCCTTTTCCTATAGGACTAGCCGCTCTTCTCTTCTTCCTTGCCCTTCCACCTTCAGTGACTACCTGCTGAGCCCCTTCTTCATTTTCCAACTCTGCAAACCTATTCTTGAGCTCTATTTCTCCTTCACTAGCCCATCTTTTCCTCTGCCTGGTCCTTCATCACCTTCCCAAAAGGTGTAAAGTATTATTCAAGGCAAGTGGGTTCTCATACAGTAAGTTTATATACACACACACACAAGATGGAAGGAGAAAGAGATTTAAGGAACAGGGGAGAAGGAAGGCAGGAACATAACAGGGAATGAGAGAGGAAGAGAAATGAGGGGGTGGAAAAAGAACAGAGACTGAAAAAAAATGGAGGAAAAGACAAAGCAAAAGATACACCAAGATAGAATCATAGAAATGGAGGGCTGGAAGGGGCCTTGATAAGTCATCAAGTCCAACCTCCTGTTACGTTCCTGCCTTCCTTCTCCCCGTTCCTTAAATCTCTTTCTCCTTCCATCTTGTGTGTGTGTGTATAAACTTACTGTACGAGAACCCACTTGCCTTGAATGATACTTTACACCTTTTGGGAAGGTGGTGATTTGGAAGGGTCTCAGGAAGATCAAAGGTTTCAGAGGCACTATTTAGCTATGCAGTGACCACTGCCTCAGAGATTCAGACCTACCTGCATTCACTGTTGGAGGTAATGAATTGATCTTTTCAACCCCACAGAGTATTTATTCTGAGTTAGGGAGTGCTCTGGCTCTGTTCTGAAGCACCTGGTAAAGGCATCCATGGAGCTGCCCTGGTGAGTGCATGCACAGCACAATCCTAGCTCCTCTTCCACTGCCACACAGTAGAAAGAGTGCAGTTTGGTTGCTTGGGGGCAGGATTGGAGGAGCCTGTGCAGGATAATGGTAGTGATCATTATCCCTCACATATTGCAGAGCCAGCTAAGGGCTCCCAGCACATTCCTGTGTATCAGGGAGCAAAGGGGGAGCCAAAAGGGGGAAACAAGAGAAGCAGGTCTGTCAGCTCTGCCTCCAAACCAATCTATCAGCCTTTGAAGCGAGTACATTGGAACAGTGAGGGTTACACTGCCAAGTAAGGAACCGACAGTCATTAGATGTCTTCTCTGGAGGAGGGGAGACAGGACATTCTTAGAAGAGGAGCACTGAGCTCTGGCATTTCCTCCCCCCATGGTCTGTGGATCTAACAATTTCACGGCACATTGTAAAGCCTGTTTCTCTGAGCGGTTTTCTGATGGGGTGACTTCAGCAGTGTAAGGGAGGAGGAGGAGATCATTTGTTGTTGATTGATGTTGATACGTAGTAACAGTGGCATTTAGTGAGAGTTTAAGTGCTTAGATTATGATCTGTATGATTTATAGTACAGTACAGCCACATAGGAGAAAACCATCATGGAATCATAGAATATCAGGGTTGGAAGGGACCTCAGGAGGTCATCTAGTCCAACCCCCTGCTCAAAGCAGGACCAATCCCCAACTAAATCATCCCAGCCAGGGCTTTGTCAAGCCTGACCTGAAAAACTTCTTAGGAAAGAGATTCCACCACCTCCCTAGGTAACGCATTCCAGTGTTTCACCACCCTTCTAGTGAAAAAGTTTTTCCTAATATCCAACCTAAACCTCCCCCACTGCAACTTGAGACCATTACTCCTTGTTCTGTCATCTGCCACCACTGAGAACAGTCTAGATCCATCCTCTTTGGAACCCCCTTTCAGGTAGTTGAAAGCAGCTATCAAATCCCCCCTCATTCTTCTCTTCCACAGACTAAACAATCCCAGTTCCCTCAGCCTCTCCTCATAAGTCATGTGTTCCAGTCCCCTAATCATTTTTGTTGTCCTCCGCTGGACGTTTTCCAATTTTTCCACATCCTTCTTGTAGTGTGGGGCCCAAAACTGGACACAGTACTCCAGATGAGGCCACACCAATGTCAAATAGAGGGGAACGATCACATCCCTCGATCTGCTGGCAATGCCCCTACTTATACATCCTAAAATGCCATTGGCCTTCTTGGCAACAAGGGCACACTGTTGACTCATATCCAGCTTCTAGTCCACTGTAACTCCTAGGTCCTTTTCTGAAGAACTGCCGCCTAGCCATTCAGTCCCTAGTCTGTAGCGGTGCATGGGATTCTTCCATCCTAAGTGCAGGACTCTGCACTTGTCCTTGTTGAACCTCATCAGATTTCTTTCTGAAGAGCATATAAGCACATTTTATAAAATTTATAAATTGAAAGAAGCAAAAATAAATCTAAAGATGGTATAAGAAAAAAATATTTAACTTTTGCCCTAGCCACATATTAAGCTCTTCTCTGCCACATAGAAAAGAACTACATGAATGGTATGAAAGAGGGACATACGGTGAGGAAGATCAGGGCCAATGAATTTGGATCTCTTATTTCTGGTTGTCTAATTTCAATATTACACAGAAGAAAACAACATTCATAAAAGGTATATACAAAAAATTACATGGAGGATGTGGAGAAGCAGAACAAAAGAAAAGCCTTTGTATCAAAGGAATACCTCTCCCCACTCCAGTCTGGGTTTCACTATCACAAGACAGCTGAGATACCCCTGGACAGCTCTACAAAGGCTTTATATTTAAGCATTTGAAAGGTCAGAAATTTTGCTAGCAAAAAGTGTCCCAGGCTGTGTACATTTCATTGACTTGGAATATGCAGTCTATACACTTGTCTATATTATATATTTTCCACAGAGATAAAACCAGTGGTGAGCTGGAGCCGGTTCGCACCGGTTCGCTAGAACCGATTATTACATTTAGAAGCCCCTTTAGAACCGGTTGTTCCGCGAGGGACAACCGGTTCTAAAAGGGCTTCTAAATTTAACCGGCCAAAAGTGGCACCTTAAGTGCCGACTCCATGGGTGCTCCAGCCCTGGAGCACCCAAGGGGAAAATTTGGTGGGTGCTGAGCACCCACCGGCAGCTCCCCGCCCCACCCCCACCCCCAGCTCATCTCACCTCCGCTCCACCTCCGCCTCCTCCCCTGAACGCGCCGCCCTGCTCTGCTTCTCCGCCCCCCCAGGCTTCCCGCAAATCAGCTGTTCGTGTGGGAAGTTGGGGCAGGCTGAGAAGCAGGCGGCGGCTTCCCGCTCAGGCCCAGGGAGGCGGAGGTGAGCTGGGATGGGGGGGCGTGAGGAGGGCCGCCCGCGCCACAGCAGGTAACCCGGGGGGGGCACACAGGGGAACCGCTCCCCACCCCAGCTCACCTCCGCCACCCTCGGCCTGAGCAGGATGCCGCCACCTGCTTCTCAGCCCTCCCAGGCTTCCCGCCGAACAGCTGATTCGCGGGAAGCCGGGGGAGGGGGCGGAGAAGCAGAGTGGGGAGGTGCATTCAGGGGTGGAGGCAGAGTGGGAGGTGAGCTGGGGCCGGGCGTGGGCTGGGGAGCTGCCGGTGGGTGCTCTGCACCTACCAAATTTTCCCCGTGGGTGCTCCAGCCCCGGAGCACCCAGGAAGTCGGCGCCTAAGGCGCCACTTTTTATGTGATCAGTGGGGGAGTGGCCGCTCCCCCTGCTCCCCCCTAGCTATGCTCCCTCGCCCTAGGAGCCAGAGGAGCCTGCCGGATGCTTCCTGGGAGCTGCCCCAGGTAAGCACCTCCGGGACGTCCCACTTTGCCCCCCGGCAGGTGCCTCTGGCTCTTAGGGGCGGGGTGGGCACCCACTACGGTGGCCCACGAGACCCTCCTGTCCGGTTCTGGGGGCAGTCAGGGGACAGGGGAGGGGGTGGATGGGGCAGGGGTCCTGGGGGGGGGGCAATGACCCCCTTGTGGGGTGCGGAGGGAACCCGTTGTTAAGATTTTGGTAGCTCATCACTGGATAAAACATGTTTTATTAGCAAACTGCATTAAATTTAGTAGAGAGCTTTAATATCTCACCATTGGCTTGCTTACAGTAAACTGACCAGCATCTTCGCAAACTCCCTCCAATATTAACTACCATTCAAAAGTGTTGTATTAGCAGCTTATATTGGACAAATAATTAAATCTAGGAAAATTACTTTTCTACCACTCACCTCTTGATGAGAAAAGAAATCACCAGGAAGTCTTTCCAGAAATGATGAGAGTGAAAAAGCAGATTTCTTTCCTTGCACATCAATAACTTTGAGGTGCTCAGGGGAAGGGCTCAAAAAGGCATAAAGTGCTTCGCTCTGACATAGTCTTTCATCAGAAAGCAGCTTCTGTGGAGAAAACAGAATGAAGACTATTCACAACATATCAATTAAATATGAATTATTTAAGCAATAAGGTGCAACAGACTCTTCGGTATTGCTGATTAATACACTAATCAGGTGCACAGTGAGACTAGCATTAGTGAATAAGGGGAGTGTCTGAATTGGTTTTAAAACATTATTTATTTAAAAGCGGAAAATTAAAAGGACTATAAAAATGGCATTGTGGAGTTCCAAGCTTATGGTCTCACAACCACTCTGAGATCAAACTGATATACCACTAGAGAGATGGCTTTTCTAAATGCCAATGCCACAAGCTCAACATGGGATCTGAAACTCAAGATGTATTCTTTTGGGCTTGTACATCACCCCCTCTCCTCCAATAAAGACTTAAACGCAAGGACTGACTCGGCTCTCACGCTGGTAATATACCAATGGTTACAATGGATTTACTCCTGATTTAGGCCAGTGTAAGTGAGAGGAGTATTAGGTTCATTGGTAACAATGCTGGTAAAATGATGTATGACCCAGAACAGAATCCAGCTTATCTTGGCTCTGCAGTTATTTAATAGTAAAAAGTAGTACATTTTAGACAGTAAAATATGCAAATATGAGACACACAGAGGAAATACACAGGGAGCATATTTGTTGAGTAAGGAGGAACTGTTTTTACATAGTCACTTTTCATACAATACCCATAGTTACAGTGAAATTATGATAATAGCTTTCCCTTCTGTCAAGGCTTTGCATGTGCTTTGATTTTCACAGATTATTGCCAGTAATTCTTTCCCAACTAGGCACTGCTATAAATTGCCCATCCACTAAGCTCTCCCCTGTAGTCATGCCCAAGTGTCATTTTTATTTTTCACTGGAAACTAGAATCTGCAGATTTTTGATTGCCTGAAACTATACTTTCTCTACCTAATTTACTTCATCTGCAGGGAAACCTGCAAAGAACTAGCTGCTTTGCCTGGTCTGTGGGTGTGGAAAGAGGGAATCTGGAGCAGAAGGAAGATGCAGATAAACAGGATTGGGTTCTGAGCACCAGAGAAGCAGCACCAAATAAAGGGGGTTCCTCAGACACTGACATAAAGGATGGTTTGCAGGAAAGGTTATTGGGATGGAGGATGGGGCACCTGACCATGAGCAGCTGGGAGTGAAGGGAATCTAGAACAGCAGGAAACAGAAAGGGACAAGAGGACACAGAAGGGGAAAAAAGAAAGTCTTAAAGTTTGATGCTTAAAATCTGAAGTGTTTATTTAAGGGTAGTACAGCACCCAAGAAATAGCAGTTAGATATGCAATAATCTAATTGAGTTTCATATTTCAATACATTTCTGCTACTTTTTAATGATGCCTTTGAAAAGCACAGCAATGAAATGGCAAACATTCAGGGTTTGAAATCCTATCCCCAGTTTAAAAAAAAGTACACTGAATATTAATGGTGCTCAGTTCCACTTCAGCAACATTCTACTTTTGAAAGAGAACATACATACAATTATTTCACTTCCTGAGGGAAATATACCTTGCTGATTTACAGCAATGTTTGGTTGTATTATAGTACCTGGAAAACAAACAAAAGCTGTCTAGGAAAAAGATTACTCTAAAATCAAACAATTTACTTTTCATATCAATGAATACGCTAGTTTCATTTTTCCTGACTCAGAGGTGGCCTATTAGTCTCTGAACTTCAGAATCTAGAACAGTTTTTCTTAATTGTTAAACAGTCTGCTTTAAACAAACAGCCCAGGTGGCCCTGAAAACCCCTACTGCTGTATCTGTAAATTGTATAATGTCTCCTGTTTGTTGCTACTGGAGGCCAAATACAATTTCACCTTTTGGGGCAAAACACAGCCACTTTAAAGGTTGTCCTATCTAAACCATACCTTTTATTCATTTATTTAGATTTAAAATAATAATGACGCCTAGCCAAGGCTCTAGGCAATCTAATATAATTACATAATCATACAATACATACTATCAAATTAAAACTCAGCAGCACTGAAATCAATTCCACAGGAATTTGGCCAGCCAACCACCTATTCCCTTCATAATCTAAAAAGCACACCTTCAGCCTCCTTCTGAGACCCTGTTCAAGAGGTGTCTTTTGCAGGTCACCAAATTCAGGCTCCATAGAACCAAATGAGGGAGCAAGTTCCAGAGTCCTGGATCCCCAGCAGAGAATGCCCTGCCAGCAACCCCCACCTTTTATAACAAAGAGGACCACCTCAAGTGCGCTGCTGACCATAGCTGTGGCAGAAGGACACAGGGAGAGGTGGACCCTCAGCTAGGCCAGTCCCAGGCCATTTAGGGCTTGATAGTCTACAGGTCATGACCAATGCCTTAAGCTTCACCTGGAGACCAATAGGCAGCCAAGCAAATCCCAAAGCACTGGGGTCACGTGCTCCCAGTGAGGTGTCCCGCTCACTAAGCAAGCACATACATTCTGCACCAGCTTCAGCCTCTGAATGGTTGTAAGGTGTAGTCCATGTAGACCACATTACAATAGTCTAATCTTGAGGTGACACAAGCATGGGTACAAGTGGCAAGGTACACATCAGAAAAAAAAGGTCGCAACCTCCCAGCCAGATACAGATGGTAAAAAGCTGACTGGGTCACCACTGTAATATGATCTTCAAACAGCTTCTTGGCATCGAACATCGCCCATGAGACATGAGCACTATTCACCAATGTCACACATACTCCCTCAACCAAAGGGGCAGATTTTACCTCTGCCATCTCCTCCAGCTGCTTCCCTCAACCCACCATCGTCAGCTCTGCCTTAGCTGGGTTCAGCATCAGCCAGCTTGCTCTCAGCCTTGCCCTAGTCTCAGCTAGACACTGGCTGAGGTGCTGAACTACATCAGAAGAGAAACAGGCATACAGTTGGATGTCATCGGCGCAGTGAAAATACTGAACCCCATGCACCCTTATTAGCTCTCCTAACAGTCCTATACACGCATTGAACAGGAGAGGTAACAGAATGACTCCTTGTGGCACTGCACACTTGAGAGCTCTTTGGGAAGGGGGCGATTGCCCGCAACTACCCGTTGAGATCTCTCCAAGAGAAAAGAACATAATGACTGTCTGAACTACAGACTTTCAGAAAGTCACAAAAGAATGAGTGGTGTGAGTTCTCCCTGGTCCTCCCAGAGTAGGAGGCATAGGTGCCGACTTCGTGGGTGCTCCGGGGCTGGAGCACCCACGGGGAAAAAATGGTGGGTGCTGAGCACCCACCGGCAGCCCCCCATCAGCTCCCCTCCCACTCCTGCAGTGCTTCCCGCCCACTGGCAGGACCCACAGATCAGCGCTTCCTCCCCTCTCCCAGCGACTCCCACCCGTCGCAAACAGCTGTTTTGTGGTATGAGGGGGCGGGGGCAGGAACGAAGACGCAGCGCGCTCGGGGAAGGAGGTGGAATTGGGCGGGAAGAGGCACAGCAGGGGTGGGGCTTTGGGGAAAGGGGTGGAGTGGGGGTGGGGCCTTGGGCCCAGCCAGGGGTCGAGCACCCACAATGGCGCTTTGGAAAGTTTGCACCTGTGGTAGGAGGAGCAGTGACTGCAGCACGACCTTCTAAACCAGTGGTCTCCAACCTTTTTATGCCCAAGATCACTTTTTGAATCCAAGGGCAACCCAGGATCTACTCTGCCCCTTCCCCGAGGCCCTGCCCCTTTCCCAAAACCCCGCCCCGCTCACTCTATCCCCCCCTCACTCCGTAGTTCACTCTCCCCCACCCTCACTCACTTTCACAGGGCTGGGGTAGGAGGTTGGGGTTCGGGAGGGGGCGCAGGCTCTGGGCTGGGGCTGAGGGGTTCGCAGTGTGGGAGGGGGCTTCGGGCTGAGCCTGGGATAGAAGTGCAGGAAGGGGCTCCAGGCTGGGGCAGACTGTTGGGGTGAAGGAGGGAGTATAGGGTGCTGGCTCTGGGAGGGGGGTCAGGGCTGGGGGTTGGAGTGTGGCCTCCCACCAGGCAGCACTTACCTCCGGTGGCTCCCAATCGGCAGTGGGCGCAGTGAAGCTACGGCAGGCTCCCTGAGTACCTCGGCCCCACATTGCTCCCAGAAGATGCCAATGCGCCCCTGCGGCCCCTGGGAGGGGTGGGAGGTATATGGCTCTGCACGTTGCCCCTCTCTGCAAGCACCGCCCCCACAGCTCTCCCAGCCAATGGTAGCTGTGGGGGCGGTGTTTGCAGGCAGGAGCAGTGCGCAGAGACCCACCGCCCTCAGAGCTGCACTGGCTGCTTCCAGGAGCGGCATGGGTCCGGGGTAGGGAGTGTGCCTCAGCAGCTGCCACGCTACACAGTCGGAGATCGCAACTGACTGGGAGATCCTCTAGGATTGACTGGTCGATGGCGATTGACCAGTTGGTGACAACTGTTCTAAACAGCGCTTGTAGAACAGTACTAAAGACACAAAGATAGGATTTTTTCCTAAAGATTGGGAGAAAATGTGTCACACACATATGCAGACAAGCTACCGTGGATTCCAGAGCCCAGCAGCACAGAACAGGGGCAGCCAGTTTGCCTTTTGACTCCACAATTAATAGAATGTTTAAGAGCATACAATCTTTGTTTTCTTACCTGTAAGAAGCTATTTAACTGGTTCTTGGACTTTTCCATGAATTTCTGATCTACAGATTTGAAGGGCAGCTTACTGAGAGAAGGCAACTGAACTTTCTTTAATGATGGAAAACACTGAGCAGAGAAAGGACAAAACGATTATTCCATCACATTTTTAATACACACATACAGCAAAAAGGCAGAAAGGGATATGGGTATAAATGGAGACGCAAGGACATCCCCTAATTTTCCTCTCCCTTCCACACCCCTCTGAGTGTTCTGAGAACTCCTTCCCTTGGCCACCCATAGGTAACACAGGTTAGGAACTCTTCCTTTGGAGCTCCATCACTACCAATCCTATGTCGAATAAAAGAGTTGCTTCAGAATAAAATGAGGCATTTTCTTTCCCAAAGGGCTGTCCCTCCTAGTGCTTCAAGCCCTCACTTGCCTTGGGAGCCAGAGACCAAGCCTAGAACTCAAAACGGGCTCATACGGCAATACAGCACAGAAGCCACTAGGACACAGGATCAGCTCAGCAAATACAATTCATTATTAAACAAGAAAAGGCCAAGTACAAACTTTTTTTGCAATCTGTCAACAAGTGCAAAAATTGGCTGCTAGAAAGAAACCTGGGTCCAAAAGGGCAAGAGGCTGTAAACAGCAGCTGGTCTGAAAATACAGTAATGAGGAATAACCAGTTTCTGGAATATTTAGATGTTTTAGGCCAATGGTTTTCAACTTTTTTTCATTTGCGGACCCCTAAAACATTTCAAATGGAGGTGCAGGCCCCTTTGGAAATTCAATCTGTGGTTCACAGACCCCCTACCATAGAAGGGTAAGACTGAAAACTGACTGAACAGAATTCAGTGCTGGGCATGGCATTTGACATAGCATGAGAAAGGGCGCTAAACTGTAGGCTTCTATGGTAACGACAACACTTCTGGGGTTTGACCTGTAGTTGTGTGTATTCATGTTCTTTTTATTGATCAGAAAAACAGAATGCTTTTTCTGGGATCTGAAACTTTACTTTCATAGTCAGCTTTCGCTGACCCCTTAGACATAGTCTGCAGACCCCCAAAAGGGTCAGTGGACCACAGGTTGAAAACCACTGTTTTAAGTAAATGGAAAGTGCATTTTAATATAACTAGACATAAAAAGGAGGGCAGGGCTGGACAGACAGTGTATGCTACAGAGAGAGGGCATGCTATATTCTTGACCAGGAAACAATATGGAATAAGGATGGCCTGTTATAAAGAAGGAGTAGCAGACAATGAGTTAGAAGAAGCAGGACAATAGATAAAAAAGAGAGAGGAAGAAAATGAGAAGAGGCAGAGACAGAAAACCAATCTTGCCACGAACAGTGTCAATTAGTCATAAAGCATAAGACACAAAGGCCAGCTGAGACACTGGAAAGCAGCAAGTGTGTCATGGAAATCCAATTAAATTGGTAAGGAGATAAAAAGTTTGAAGGAAGACTGTAATTGAAGCAAAAAAGGGTGACAAAGGTGAAAGTGGTGGGATTCAAATTTTCCTCAAATTAAGCCTCTTCCATTTTTCTTTCCACCTTTCATTTCAGATTAAATAAACTGCAGCAGAGTGATTCCCTCCACAAGTTTGCTACTGAAACATATGGAGGGAACCCCAAAAAGACTTCCACTAAGATTTCTTCCCCCACCCCCTTAATTTCCCCATTCCAAAATGGCAGTCTGTATGCACTCTTGCCTACCCACTTCATTTCTGAAAACAATCAGTCTCCTGTTGTCCATTTTAAGCAGCTATCTCCACAAAGTCTTTGTCCTGTTGCTTCAGTAAATTAGCCATCAAAAAGTACTTGTGAATCAAGAAGCTAATAAACTCACCTTTGGAGCCCAACACCAGAGGTTTATAAACTCATTTCCACCAAACTTTGATACAGTTTTTGCTTACATAGAAACGGCTTGTTTTACTTTCTAAACAAAGGTTTCATATTTAAGCTATTTTCTTTATTTTTCACATAGATTAGAGGTGGCAATGGTCACTTTATTTTAAGTACTGGTTTTTCTTCTGAATGTGTGTCTAGTATTTTAAAAGATAAAAACCCCACTCACACAAAAAAGTATTCCTACCTCACTGAGTTTTCGGTGTAAATTCTGAAACTCACTGAGCTTTCTGGGAACTCTCCAGTTCTTCGCTTCAGCTCCACCAACTTCTTGTAAACTCACCATGACAAAGTAGCATGGCACTTGTTCCCCATTTTCTTCTACAACCTTGGGGGTGGGGAGGGAATGTATATTACTGAGACAGTAAATAAATAGCAAAACGTTAAAAAAATTAACTTGCATACAGATTCATGATTCTCGCCACCGTTTCATTCTCTCTGCTTTAGCATAAAGGCCTCATACCAAACTTTGGCTTATTAGACTAAATCTGATCAGGATACTGTGGGTCCTGCAATTTCCCCCCGTTAATACATTCATCTTCTTCACTGACTGCCTTGCAACACCTCCTACATCAACAGAATCCATTTTAAATCTCTTCTTGGGACACAGTCATTTGGCTTTTACAATTTTCAAAGTTTTTTTCATGTTAGATTGGTCTCCTTTCTCTCTCTTTCTGTGTGGTGACAGGCATGCATCCTCCCATATTTTACTGTACAGGTTTTAACTTCTGCTCTGCCTTCTTTCCTAAGCACCATATTGCTGCTCCATGGGTCACTGCTATCACTCTAATGTTATTAAAAAACCTTTCTGTGCAGAGACAGAAGGGAGGAACTGGGGGACTTGCTCTCACATTGTTTCAATAACCAGAGTCTCTGCATTCAGGCTCAATTCCATTTAAAAAAAAAACAGTGACCTCTCCTATTGCTTACCAGTACTTTATTTTCTTAGAATTTTCTTGATTAGTTTCATATTCTTCATGGTCTTTCTTTTCAACCTTGTCTTCTCTTGAGATATAGATATCCATATACACAAGCCATAGCAATCCTTAAGATGATGCCTGTACTAGCAGGGGTTATCAGGCTGTCATTTCACTTCTCCATTCATTACTTGCGTTTGAGAGTACTTTTCACACATGTATAGCTGCCTCCCATTGGAGGATCTCACATCCTTTACAACTATCAATGAATGAAAACTTACAATAGATATGTGAAGTATGTGTTATCAGATGAGGGAAACTGAGGCAAAGTGAGGTTAAAAGCCCTTCTCAAGAATATAGAGGTGGTCTGTGGCAATGCCAAGGATCAAACTCAGATCTTTAAGATCCTAATCTCATGTCTCAACCAAAACATCACCCTTTCTCTCCATTACAATATAGTTTTCTTCAGAAGACGGGCAAATGGATTAACAGAGCAAAACAAGACAAACAGCTAAAGTAGGAGGCCCTTTCCTTACTAAATAAACCCCTAATGAAATCAATATTTCCAACGTACAGGCATGGGTTTGTTTTGGCTTTTTAGGCAATTTTGCTTGCACAGAAGGTACTTTCTAACTAATTCAATTACAGTCAGGATAAACCGTAAAATTCAGATGATGACAACATCCACTGGGAGGGTTGTAAAAGTCTGGTCATGTCTATTTATGCTAGTGGCAGGCAATTCTAACAGTCAATATACCATCACTGTAAGTGACATTTCATTAAAATGTCTCCTTATAAACTTACTTCTTGTTGTAACACGCTCTTCCTGGGGCTGCACACAGGACCATTAAGGACTCAGCCTAGTGCCGAATGTGTACAACCCCAGTAACTGAGCATTTCAGTGGCTCCCAATGAATTTCCAGATAAAGTTCAAGGTGCTAGTTTTAATTATAAAACCCTACATGGTTTCAAACATAGCTACCCAAGGAACTACCTTTCTTTCCCATGCCAGGCTTCCATGTTTGAGAACAGCAGAGGTGTTTGATCTGAAACTCCTGTGATGCAAAGAAGAAGAAACTGGTGGCAGGGTATTTTCTGTGAGAGTTGAACTACGCAGACTTTTTCTTCCTTGGTCTGGCAGAGCCTGGATTTGTGCCTTCACATGGATTTATGAGGGTTGGGAGATCAGAGATGGAGGGGCTCATGGTAAGTGATCATTATTAGTGACTATTCTATATTACACATTTTTCAAAAGACTAATCACTTGCAGAGGTTCAGGCACATCTGAATAAAATTACCAGCGGGTAGTGATCCATGGGGAAATTATCTCTACCTTTACTTTAATTATTCCTTCTTGGTGACCTTTTAGAATATACTCAAAGCAGGGGGGAAATTTTAAAGCTAGGTCTTCTAAAATTGGCCTTCATTCTATTTTCAAGTTATTATTCACATGGTTCTGCATAGGGAGAATAATTATTAAATGGAGACATAAGTTTAAAGTTTACTACAGTCTCCCATATGAAATATTTGATAGCTTTCATAATCCCTTTTTGAGCAAAGGGAAGTTATGATCGTTTGAAGTACGTGTACATTTGCTATTTTGGACTAGCATGTTACCTAAAAAATGGGCAACACAATTTTCACGGGACTCTCTCTATATGTAAGAGTTTACATCAAATTCCCATTGAAATGGAACCACAAATGGATAGAAGTGAGCTATGACTAGAATACCGGACTTCTCATTTTAAATGCAAATTTACCTTTACCTGTAGTGTTCTCACTTTTATGGTTTTCTTTGTTAATTTGTTTTTTATATTTACAAAACCCATCAGAAATAATGAATCCTAAAACAAGCTAGAAAAACACGATAAGGAAACGAAATTCCCCACCCTTTCATGGTTTTTGCTATAATATTAATATTATTTTGAATCTTTGTCCTACAATTAGAACCTGGAAGCTTGAAGGCTGTGTTCAGATACCACAGTGATGGGCATAGTTTTGAGAATTCATTGAGAATGGCAGGGTACTCTCAGAATTAGGTCTAAGGCTGAACTCCACAGCTCCTTTCATGACATACCCTACTCATACCTTTATCAACCCAGAGTCATTGGCTTAAATAAGAGTTATTCACGTTACACATAGTTAGCTATGGAGAAGAGGACTGACTCAGTATTCCATACTCAAGAGATTTAGATGGTTTCAGACGCTTAATTCTCCTCCTATGACAGTTATATGGCAGCCTCAGGACAATGCAAAAATTCATTATTTCAGAGGGTATGGTCTGTCATTGAGCACCTACTCCACAAAGGGCAAGAATTTCTCTCTTCTACACATGCCTCTGGGCATGAATGTACCCATTTCTTACAAAAGAGGGTACATCTCAGCTGCAGTGCGGGCTTCAATTCAGGCACCATATTAGTAAACATTACCAAGAGTTCAGACGAGAGTAATGAAAAAGAGGAAATCGTTTAGAAAATGGTATGTTCAAATCGACTGAAGAGAGGACCTAAAAGAGGTATAATATCTACAAACGTATAAAGAAGTGTTATAAAGTCAACAGGAACCAATTATTGCACAAAACAAGTTATGGCCCTAAGCTGCAGTAAGCTGGTGTAAATCAGTGCAGCTCCACTCCGCTGTGGAGCTATGCCAATTGACAACAGCTGAGGATGTGTTTTAAGAGTGTTATATTAAGTGTAATTGCAAGTCTCGCTGTTTTTCTACTACCAATTACATTAAATCCTCCTCTCGGTTTCTACAAAACACCCAAAATTTTTTGTCTCCAAAGACAGTTTTATCAGGTCAGCTTGTTTTGAAACAACATCTGCAGACTGCAACATTTGCAATGATTATATTTTTATTTCATACAGCTACATGCTTTTCTGATAAATATAAACCTTAAAAATTGACATATGCAAGTCAAGTTCTACTACAAATAGGGCTTAGATTTTGCATTTTTTTTATTGTCACACAAATCCATTTAGAATTTTATATATTGCTTATTTAGGTTTCAGTTTGAAAACTGTACAGTCACAGACTATTTCCTTTCCCAGTGAGTCACTCTATACAGCAATACAGTAACCTCTGCCTTCACTAAGACTCTCTGCAATAAGGATTGTACAATTTGACTTCAGACTACATTAGAATGAGTTATAAACTAATTCTCTTTCTAAAACACATCTTGCCATCACACCAAAAACTGAGATAAGCAACAATCAGTGTTATAGAGAAGGAAATGGTGCTAACTATTTAGGTCCTCTGAACTGATCTATTCTCTACAGCTAGAAAATTTTAGAATTATTCACTAAATCTTTGCTTGGAAGAACTGCAACTTCAAGACTTTCCCCAGCCTTTCCATTCAATCACAGTGCTGTATAAATAAAATACAATTCAGGTTTCAATGTGCACCTAATTGCCTAGTCTACTGGTCCTTACAACTTATTCATTTAGGTCATTGGCTTTCAACCAGTTCTATACTGGGACTCCCGTTATCATACTGGGACCACACCCAGAACCCGCTCCTCCTATTTAACTGGGATCAGGCCAGAACACCCTACCCATTCAGTAAAAAGGGAAGGGAAGAGAAGGGTAGTCGTGACCCTTGACACCTGTTTGCAACCCCGCTGTAGACAACTACCTCTTTGGGTGCTAGGCATTACTGACTTGCCAGGTCAGGATTTTAGCTGTACATGTTAATGCTATAACTTAGAAATCCTGAATAAAATGAAACAAGAATTTAAGAGACCTGGACAGCGAAGCTGGCAAGAAGACACTAATTATTCTAGTACAGTATTCATTAGTATAAAAGAGCTAGGTCATCTCACCTACAGCAATACAAAACAGAAAGAAAACAGAATGCAGTACACTAACTGTTCAGTTTAACAAAATGATACATCATGTTTAACATGTTAGATCTAATATCCACTTGAACAGCCGCCTGTGGTTTTGTTCCAAAGAGAGGTATCATTAATTTACAGGAACCTAAGACATAACCAAGTAAATGCAATAGCAATTCATTCCCAAGTTTATTGTGTTTTTACACCATGAAAATTATTTGCACTTATTTATTTAGAAATATATTTTAAGGAACACATTTTATTACTAGCATGGGAAGAAAATCCTACAGAGATCTAATTAGCCTTTACTTCCCTTAAGTCAATATAGAATTGGTCCTGTAAATTGTGCTACTGAGTCACTGTATAAATGTGAACACTTCCTTGTAAGCAAGACACGAGAAGTAATTCTTCCACTCTACTCCACACTGATTAGGCCTCAACTGGAGTGTTTTGATCACAATGGTCCCTTTTGGCTTAGAATCTATGAAGACACACACACATGCAAACACACTTACCTACTTACTTTCTGGGAGTGTAGCAATAACCACAGCATCAATGCACACAGAGCTGACTTAGCTTTAAAAGCAACTAGAATTGCTGCATCTCTACTACACAAGATGTATGCTGTGACTAAGAAATAGTCTCAGTGTGCATGTAAGCGTCTCTGAGGTTCAGAAAACAATCTTCTTTATTTAGTGAGAAACAGATTTTTAAAAGAGTAAAGAAAAATAGTAGGGTTTACAAACACTTTTAAAGTTCAGGCATTAAGTTTTGTTACAGAGGAAACGCTCAAGGAGGATCTATGTATTTGTCTGATGAGGTAAGTATGACTAATACTGGACAACACCCCCTTTGTAACAAATGCTTCTTGTCTACTACCTAATACATGTAAAGGAATAAGAGAGATTCCACACTTCTTATCTTTCATTGTCCAATCAATAACTTTATGGGTTGAATTGCACAAGTCGCAAGAATTCATTCCATAACTTTGCGTGTCTGTAGTCCTCAAACAAAAGTTGGGTAGGTTGAGTCATCTTCTTCAAAGCAAGGAACACTCAGATCTGTACCAGGACATGAGCCACATCTGCAAACATCTCATGAACAACCGGGCATGCGGAGTCACAAATGCTTGCAGTGGAGCACCCATCAGGACACTCCACGACTCGAAGAATACTTTCCTCTAAGGTTCACCAGGTGACATAAACTACTTCAGAAATTCCCTTTGAGTGTTTCACCTTGTAAGTTGGCTTTCTTACGCCTCATCCAGTATCTCGAACAGTCCTTTAAAACTTAATTGGTATAGAGGATCATAATATGAAATATAGCACGTGCAAATATTGGGTCTTCTATGTGTAGGAATGTAGGCCTGGCGTGACATAAGTAATTACACATGGGAAAGGCCTCATTTCTTGGAAGACAGGAGTAGGGAGGTACACTGATTAGCATGCTGAAAACAGAGTATTTGTGCTACCTAGGATAAGTAAATGGATCAGCAGACTGGAAAAACAACGTCTGTACTAGTTAGGATAAGGGTGAAACACCCAAGGAGCCATTTACAATGGACAAGATAATCCTGGAACATAAGATGAGGTAAAGAGTAAGTTGTACATGGATGGTGAATGGACAGAACATGCTCTACAGGGATTGGTTCCTACAAAGTGACCAAGTCAAACCCAAAACATGTGATGCAATGTATAGTAAATGCAATGTAATGTGAAAATGTGTATGAAGGAAGAAGTTTGTGTTGGATGTGTGGTACACCCCCTATACCTACGCCCTACTGTTGAATCTGATCAACTCATTGTAGCTTTGCTGTATGCCAGATAAAGGAAACTGAGTGATGAGACTGGACTCCAGCTGAGTTCTTTGGGAACTGAATAGAAGAGGTCTCAGGGGAACCCCAACACCATGCATGCCAATAACAGCACTGTATCTCAGTCAGTTAGCATCATAAGATTACAGATCTCAATCTGCTCATTGTTGAAGCACAAGGGTGTTCCTTAGATGCCATACCGCTTTATCCGATGCCTGAACCCACTGATATATTTACAGATGTTCCTATAGCTCCTGAACAACAGAGCTGAAGGATAAGACATGTTTGTGAATGGCGGGGGGGTGGGAGGAGAGAGCTTGATGAGGTTGTTTTAAATACACTCTGACAAACTGAACGTAAGCATTTCTTTTTCTTTATACACTGAGAATTTGAACAGAACCAGAGGATAAAAACACAGCAAAAACATACCTCGCCTGTATTTATGAAGGCTTTCCACATGCCAAGATTTTCACACCACCAATCTGTTCTTGCAATGTGCAACCGCAGGTCACTGTGTTCTCTCTCCATCAGAGTAATTTCATCCTTCAATTTGGAAACAATCTGACAAGGAAAATATAGGAATTACAACTGGTAAGAAACTGCCTATGATAACATAGCCACTGACTTCTTTGGTTATAATATTTAAGAGATGGAAAGGGTGCAGGGGAGTGGAGAGAAAAAGGAATAATCCTGCAGGACAAGTCATTACAAAAATCCCGAATCTGTACAATCTACGCAGTCTAATATAGATTGGTAAAATACACTGTATCAATTAAAAGTCAACTTGCAGTGCTAAAAGAAAAACCTGAAATAGGCCCAGAAATACATGCCAAATATCACCATTCACCAGGCAAGAGGGGGCAATCAGTACAGAAATATTTTTAAAGGAACACTTTCAAGTTAAAGATTATATAAACATTGTAGGTACTCTCTGTTGACAAGTTTCTCTCTTTAGGAAATACTTAACGTGACTGAACAACCAATGAATAGTTTTCATTCCTTGTGTCTTAATTACCTAACTAAGCATTCAAAGGAGTTACAATTTAATAGGCCCAAAAAAAGCCAAACAGCATTAATTATTTTGGAAGATATACATTTAAAAGACTTTCTTGCTTGGACATAACTCTCAAAGAGATAATCTTCTAAAAGAAAGAAAGCTGTATCTTACAAATGGTAAAATGATTTGCAAATTACTGTTACAGAACATGACTGTAAGAAAATTTGGGAATATATGTAAAAATGTGTGATTAGAACAGTTAAGAAAACAAGCTGATGCTTTCACTTCTATGAAATAGCACACAAATTCAGCTTCATTTAAAGTCCTCCTTGACCAACTTGTACCAGGGAAGAAGCAACTTGGTGGTCACATTTATACATCTACAACAATTCTGCCTCTATATATTAAATATTTGGTCTCTTGTAAGGTGAAGGATCATTTACAATTACAGGTATACAACTCCCTCTTCAAACAGCTATCATCCTTCTTGGAACAGCATCTAGATTTTCCAGTAATACCTGCATACAGATCTCCTTGCAATGATTTTATTCTGGCAACTAAGAATGTAACAGTGAAATTATGGAAAAACTCAGACAACAACAAAGGATCCAAAGAAATTGGTATGGTGTGACTACAGGTAAACAGTTGACCTTACATAACAAAATACTCAGACTCTATTCCATTACTGATTCAATTTTATTAAACACATTTCAAAAAGTGTAACAATGCAGAAAGGCATAATGAATCTCTCTCCATATTTTTCATTGTCATTAGAAAAAAAAAGTGTGCACATGCATGCACGTGTAAATAAATCATAGTCTCAAGTTAAAGATGAGATAAGAAGCAATGATTCATATGTGAATACAATATGTCATAATGGCTTGGTTATACAGATAGCACTGATATCAGAAGCAAAACCTTAAAAACTGTAATGCTACTTAAATCAACACCCAGGTTAAAACAGAAATAAAATTGTACATAAGCATTCTCTCAAATAGCATTACAATTTTGAGTATTTTGTAGCTAACCATGCGAGTATATGTGTTCCTATGTTTATATACACACGTTTTTATTACGATTTACAATTGTGTTTTTCTTATACTTAGGGTTATAAGGTAAAGAGTGTTACTGAAACAAATCTGTTGTTGCACTCAAATGCGATACCACTGTAAAGTGTGTAATATTTTGCATGAAAATGTATCATTCTATATTCTTGATGACACTTAAGCAAATAAAAAGAAAATGTTCTTGTATTTCTAAAGTAACTAGATTTCCTTACCTGCATCACCAATATCTTCTCACATTATTAAAATGGAAAGAATTGTTAAAAATGAATTTACCTTTAAACACTTAGCCCTGGTCTACACTAGGACTTTAGGTCGAATTTAGCAGCGTTAAATCAATGTAAACCTGCACCCGTCCACATGATGAAGCCCTTTATTTCGACTTAAAGGGCTCTTAAAATCGATTTCCTTACTCCACCCCTGACAAGTGGATTAGTGCTTAAATCGGCCTTGCCGGCTCGAATTTGGGGTACTGTGGACACAATTCGACGGTATTGGCCTCCAGGAGCTATCCTAGAGTGCTCCATTGTGACCGCTCTGGACAGCACTCTCAACTCAGATACACTGGCCAGGTAGACAGGAAAAGAACCGCGAACTTTTGAATCTCATTTCCTGTTTGGCCAGCGTGGCAAGCTGCAGGTGACAGTGCAGAGCTCATCAGCAGAGGTGACAATGATGGAGTCCCAAAATCGCAAAAGAGCTCCAGCATGGACTGAACGGGAGGTACGGGATCTGATCGCTGTATGGGGAGAGGAATGCATGCTATCAGAACTCCGTTCCAGTTTTCAAAATGCCAAAACCTTTGTCAAAATCTCCCAGGGCATAAGGACAGAGACCATAACAGGGACCCGAAGCAGTGCCGCGTGAAACTTAAGGAGCTGAAGCAAGCCTACCAGAAAACCAGAGAGGCGAACAGCCGCTCCGGGTCAGAGCCCCAAACATGCCGCTTCTATGATGAGCTGCATGCCATTTTAGGGGGTTCAGCCACCACTACCCCAGATGTGTTGTTTGAATCCTTCAATGGAGATGGAGGCAACACGGAAGCAGGTTTTGGGGACGAAGATGATGATGATGAGGTTGTAGATAGCTCACAGCAAGCAAGCGGAGAAACCAGTTTTCCCGACACCCAGGAACTGTTTCTCACCCTGGACCTGGAGCCAGTACCCCCCGAACCCACCCAAGGCTGCTTCCTGGACCCGGCAGGCAGAGAAGGGACCTCCGGTGACTGTACCTTTTAAAATACTATACATGGTTTAAAAGCAAGCATGTGAAAGGATTACTTTGCCCTGGCATTCGCGGCTCTCCTGGATGTACTCCCAAAGCCTTTGCAAAAGGTTTCTGGGGAGGGCAGCCTTATTGCGTCCTCCATGGTAGGACACTTTACCACGCCAGGCCAGTAACATGTACTCGGGAATCATTGTACAACAAAGCATTGCAGTGTATGTTTGCTGGCGTTCAAACAACATCCGTTCTTTATCTCTCTGTGTTATCCTCAGGAGAGTAAGATATAATTCATGGTCACCTGGTTGAAATAGGGTGCTTTTCTTCAGGGGACACTCAGAGGAGCCCGTTCCTGCTGGGCTGTTTGCCTGTGGCTGAACAGAAATGTTCCCCGCTGTTAGCCACGGGGAGGAGGGAGGGTTGAGGGGGTAGCCACGCGGTGGGGGGAGGCAAAATGCGACCTTGTAACGAAAGCACACGTGCTATGTATGAAATGTTAACAGCAAGGTTTACCGTGAAAGAGTGTAGCCATTGTTTTATAAAATGTGTCTTTTTAAATACCGCTGTCCCTTTTTTTTTCTCCACCAGCTGCATGTGTTTCAATGATCACAGGATCTTCTCCTTCCCAGAGGCTAGTGAAGATTAGAAAGAAAAAAAAACGCACTCGTGATGAAATGTTCTCTGAGCTCATGCTGTCCTCCCACACTGACAGAGCACAGACGAATGCGTGGAGGTAAATAATGTCAGAGTGCAGGAAAGCACAAAATGACCGGGAGGAGAGGTGGCGGGCTAAAGAGAGTAAGTGGCGGGCTGAAGACAGGGCTGAAGCTCAAATGTGGCGGCAGCGTGATGAGAGGAGGCAGGATTCAATGCTGAGGCTGCTGGAGGACCAAACCAGTATGCTCCAGTGTATGGTTGAGCTGCAGCAAAGGCAGCTGGAGCACAGACTGCCACTACAGCCCCTGTGTAACCAACCGCCCTCCTCCCCAAGTTCCATAGCCTCCACACCCAGATGCCCAAGAACGCGGTGGGGGGGCCACCGGCCAACCAGCCACTCCGCCACAGAGGATTGCCCAAAAAAAAGAATGCTAGCATTCAATAAATTTTAAAGTTGTAAACTTTTAAAGTGCTGTGTGGCATTTTCCTTCCCTCCTCCACCACCCCTCCTGGGCTACCTTGGTAGTCATCCCCCTATTTGTGTGATGAATGAATAAAGAATGCATGAATGTGAAGCAACAATGACTTTATTGCCTCTAAGAAAAGGAGTACTTGTGGCACCTTAGAGACTAACCAATTTATTTGAGCATGAGCTTTCGCGAGCTACAGCTCACTTCATCAGATGCATACCGCCTCTGGAAGCAATGATTAAAGGCAGGAGAGGAGGGTGGTTAGCTTGTAGGGAAGTAGAGTGAACCAAGGGGCGGGGGGTTTCATCAAGGAGAAACAAACAGAACTTTCACACCGTAGCCTGGCCAGTCATGAAACTGGTTTTCAAAGCTTCTCTGATGCGTACCGCGCCCTCCTGTGCTCTTCTAACCGCCCTGGTGTCTGGCTGCACATAACCAGCAGCCAGGCAATTTCCCTCAACCTCCCACCCTGCCATAAACGTCTCCCCCTTACTCTCACAGATATTGTGGAGCACACAGCAAGCAGTAATAACAGTGGGAATATTGGTTTCGCTGAGGTCTAAGCGAGTCAGTAAACTACATCAGCGCGCCTTTAAACGTCCAAATGCACATTCTACCACCATTCTGCACTTGCTCAGCCTGTAGTTGAACAGCTCCTGACTACTGTCCAGGCTGCCTGTGTACGGATTCATGAGCCATGGCATTAAGGGGTAGGCTAGGTCCCCAAGGATACATATAGGCATTTCAACATCCCCAACAGTTATTTTCTGGTCTGGGAATAAAGTCCCTTCCTGCAGCTTTTGAAACAGACCAGAGTTCCTGAAGATGCAAGCGTCATGTACCTTTCCCGGCTATCCCACGTTGATGTTGGTGAAACGTCCCTTGTGATCCACCAGAGCTTGCAGCACTATTGAAAAGTACCCCTTGCGGTTTATGTACTTGGCGGCTTGGTGCTCCGGTGCCAAGATAGGGATATGGGCTCCATCTATGGCCCCACCACAGTTAGGGAATCCTATTGCAGCAAAGCCATCCACTATGACCTGCACATTTCCCAGGGTCACTACCCTTGATATCAGCAGATCTTTGATTGCATGGGCTACTTGCATCACAGCAGCTCCAACAGTAGATTTGCCCACTCCAAATTGATTCCCAACTGACCGGTACCTGTCTGGCGTTGCAAGCTTCCACAGGGCTATCGCCACTCGCTTCTCAACTGTGAGGGCTGCTCTCATCTTGGTATTCATGCGCTTCAGGGCAGGGGAGAGCAAGTCACAAAGTTCCATGAAAGTGCCCTTACGCATGCGAAAGTTTCGCAGCCACTGGGAATCGTCCCAGACCTGCAACACTATGCGGTCCCACCAGTCTGTGCTTGTTTCCCGACCCCAGAATCGGCGTTCCACAGCATGAACCTGCCCCATTAGCACCATGATGCATGCATTGGCAGGGCCCATGCTTTCAGAGAAATCTGTGTCCATGTCCTGATCACTCACGTGACCGCGCTGACGTTGCCTCCTCGCCCGGTATCGCTTTGCCAGGTTCTGGTGCTGCATATACTGCTGGATAATGCGTGTGGTGTTTAATGTGCTCCTAATTGCCAAAGTGAGCTGAGCGGCCTCCATGCTTGCCTTGGTATGGCGTCCGCCCAGAAAAAAGGAGCGGAACGATTGTCTGCCGTTGCTCTGACAGAGGGAGGGGCGACTGACGACGTGGCTTACAGGGTTGCCTTCAGGGAGCTAAAATCAACAAAGGGGGTGGCTTTACATCAAGGAGTATTTCAGGCAGGACTTCACGGAGGGTTCCAATAAGAAATGGTGCACCTAAGTTATTGTTCTTATTGGAACAAAGAGGTTAGCCTGGCCTCTGATTGATACATGGCTAGATTTACCTCGCTGCACCTTCTCTGTGAGTGACTGCAGTGTGACCTAGAGGAATGAGTCCCCTAGACAGGGGAGGGGAGGAAGCAAATGAGTACAAAACAAATCTGGTCTATTTCTTGTTTTGATCCACTCCATCTATCTTTTACATCTTTGGCTGGCAGCAGACGGTGCAGAAGGACTGCAAGCCATCCACATCTCATGGCTGCTCGGCAGAAGACAGTGCAATATGACTGCTAGCCATCCCCATCTCTTGCCTGCCTGGCAGAAGATGGTACAGTACGACTGCTAGCAATCCATATTGCCTGCCTGCTCACCATAAGACGGTTCAATAGGACTGACTGTAGGACTAAAGAGAATGACCTGGTCAAGTCACTCCAAACTTAGTCCCTGCGCCCATGTCTGTCCAGGCGCTCCCAGCCAACGCGACCAGGAGCACCTCGGACATGACAGTGACGGCTACCAGTCATGTTGCACTGTCTGCTGCCAGAAGCCAATGGGTTGCTGCTACTGTGTAGCAATGCAGTACCGTGTCTGCCAGCACCCAGGAGACATACTGTGACGGTTACCTGAGCGGGCTCCATGCTTGCCGTGGTATGGCGTCAGCACAGGTAACTCAGGAAAAAAGGCGTGAAACGATTGTCTGCCCTTGCTTTCACGGAGGGAGGGAGGGAACGGGGGCCTGACGATATGTACCCAGAACCATCCGCGACAATGTTTTAGCCTCATCAGGCATTGGGATCTCAAACCAGAATTCCAATGGGCAGCGGAGACTGTGGGAACTGTGGGATAGCCACCCACAGTGCAACACTCCGGAAGTCAACGCTAGCCTCGGTACTGTGGAAGCACTCCGCCGAGTTACTGCACTTAATGCACTTAGAGCATTTTCTGTGGGGACACACACACTCGAATATATAAAACCGATTTCTAAAAAAACGACTTCTATAAATTCAACCTGATTTCATAGTGTAGACATACCCTTATACTGTTTGTTCACATTTTGCATTCCTCACAGTCTAGTGAACAAAAATAGGACGGGTGAGTTTTACTTTCTGATTCTCATAAACTAGCCCTAAACTGCAATTTTTGGGAGGCAAACAACCTGGGAGAATAATTCCAAACACAAACAAGTGTCAAGTGGAATTTTTGAGTGGGTGTTTAACTCAACAGAAACATTTTTGTGATATTTTGTTCTGTAAACCTGTGTTTGTATAAATATAAAGCCTAATTCATGTGGAGAGCATCTTTAACCGGAAGTACTTTTTTCTTCTCTGTGAAATACTCCTTGCTCACCGAACAGATCATGGAGGAGCTGAAGGACTATTTTAAGTTTAGTTTAAATTTTGGCTGAATGCCCTGGTGATCAGGTTATTCAGCACATAAACTTCACCTTTAAACTTTCATCTTTTCACTGTGTGGAAACAGCCAACTGTAAGGAATTATGATGTGATTGGAATAAAAGAGACTTGTTGGGATAACTCACATGACTGGAGTACTGTCATGGATGGATATAAACTGTTCAGGAAGGACAGGCAGGGAAAAAAAGGTGGGGGAGTTGCACTGTATGTAAGGGAGCAGTATGACTGCTCAGAGCTCCAGTATGAAACTGCAGAAAAACCTGAGAGTCTCTGGATTAAGTTGAGAAGTGTGAGCAACAAAGGTGATGTCGTGGTGGGAGTCTGCTATAAATCACTGGACCAGGGGGATGAGGTGGACGAGGCTTTCTTCCGGCAACTCACAGAAGTTACTAGATCGCAGGCACTGGTTCTCATGGGAGACTTCAATCACTCCGATATCTGCTGGGAGACCAATAGAGTGGTGCACAGACAATCCAGGAAGTTTTTGGAAAGTGTAGGGGACAATTTCCTGGTGCAAGTGCTGGAGGAACCAACTAGGGGAAGAGCTCTTCTTGACCTGCTGCTCACAAACAGGGAAGAATTAGTAGGGGAAGCAAAAGTGGATGGGAACCTGGGAGGCAGTGACCATGAGATGGTCGAGTTCAGGATCCTGACACAGGGAATAAAGGAGAGCAGCAGAATACAGACCCTGGACTTCAGAAAAGCAGACTTTGAATCCCTCAGGGAACTGATGGGCAGGATCCCCTGGGAGAATAACATGAGAGGGAAAGGAGTATAGGAGAGCTGGCTGTATTTTAAAGAATCCTTATTGAAGTTACAGGGACAAACCATCCCGATGTGTAGAAAGAATAGTAAATATGGCAGGCGACCAGCTTGGCTTAACAGTGAAATCCTTGCTGATGTTAAACACAAAAAAGAAGTTTACTAGACGTGGAAGATTGGACAAATGACCAGGGAAGAGTATAAAAATATTGCTCGGGCATGCAGGAGTGAAATCAGGAAGGCCAAATCACACCTGGAGTTGCAGCTAGCAAGAGATGTTAAGAGTAACAAGAAGGGTTTCTTCAGGTATGTTAGCAACAAGAAGAAAGTCAAGGAAAGTGTGGGCCCCTTACTGAATGAGGGAGGCAACCTAGTGACAGAGGATGTGGAAAAGCTAATGTACTCAACGCTTTTTTTGCCTCTGTCTTCACGAACAAGGTCAGCTCCCAGACTACTGCACTGGGCAGCACAGCATGGGGAGGAGGTGACCAGCCCTCTGTGGAGAAAGAAGAGGTTTGGGACTATTTAGAAAAGCTGGACGAGCACAAGTCCATGGAGCTGGATGCGCTGCATCCGAGAGTGCTAAAGGAGTTGGCGGATGTGATTGTAGAGCCATAGGCCATTATCTTTGAAAACTCATGGTGATCGGGGGAGGTCCTGGATGACTGGAAAAAGTCTAATGTTGTGCCCATCTTTAAAAAAGGGAAGAATGAGGATCCTGGGAACTACAGGCCGGTCAGCCTCACCTCAGTCCCTGGAAAAATCATGGAGCAGGTCCTCAAAGAATCAATCCTGAAGCACTTGCATGAGAGGAAAGCGATCAGGAACAGCCAGCATGGATTCACCAAGGGAAAGTCATGCCTGACTAATCTAATCGCCTTTTATAATGAGATTACTGGTTCTGTGGATGAAGGGAAAGCAGTGGATGTGTTATTCCTTGACTTTAGCAAAGCTTTTGATACGGTCTCCCACAGTATTCTTGCCAGCAAGTTAAAGAAGTATGGGCTGGATGAATGGACTATAAGGTGGATAGAAAGCTGGCTAGATTGTCGGGCACAACGGGTAGTGATCAATGGCTCCATGTCTAGTTGGCAGCCGGTATCAAGTGGAGTGCCCCAGGGGTCGGTCCTGGGGCCGGTTTTGTTCAATATCTTCATAAATGATCTAGAAGATTGCGTGGATTGCACCCTCAGCAAGTTTCCAGATGACACTAAACTGGGAGGAGAGGTAGATACCCTAGCGGGTAGGGATAGGATA